CACCCAAAATCCATTCACAGAGCTCCTTTTGCTACACAGTGGGACGTATTGCCCCACTCTCCTCAAGTTAGGTCTGAAAGAACATCAAGTTCCCATGGGAACATTGCTCCATGCTTCACAAGTTGGCACTAGGGCCTGAACGCACGGTGATATACCCAGCCAGACATCGAGGCTCTAAACAAACAAACAGAAGCGGTTAGTGTCCCAACACCACCCATAATAATAAATAACACACAGTGTCACCAAGGTCCAAGTGCCTCTGCAGTGGGAGCATTATCCCACTCTCCGCTACATGTCAGAAGTCTAGTAGTGCAAGGCTTGGGCAAGAAACTGACCAAGTTTGAAAAGAGACACAGATTCTCCTAGCACTCACATCACACAGAATGTTCGCGCTCACTCACATGCAACGGCTTCAGTGGCAGTAACTAAGCTCAGGAATTCTCATGCACACATCGGCATCAACGGCGCACACCAAATTCGCTGGGATATGTCTACACCAAGACATCTGCCCCAACCCCCTCGGCAGACTTCGAAATGACAGTGCCCACATACCACCGTTGTCCACTCTCTGCCAGGCTCAGGGCACGTTTAGGGTTTAGGGGTTTAGGGTTTAGGGGTTTAGGGGTTTAGGGGTTTAGGGCTTAGGGTTTCATGGGTAGTTATCAATGGGGGTTATAAGTAGGGAACTATACTTACAACTCATGTTAGCAGACATATAACCTTACTTATTGCTACCCATGAACTCCAAGAAGGGAAGGGCACGGTCCAAGGTTAGGGAAACTTTGGCGTGTTGGGTGGGTTGGAGTTGCACAGTTTGTTGCAGCCTGCCTAGCTGACTTTTCGGAGTTTAGCCATGTAGGGCTTCAGTTTAGAACGTAGAGATGCTGCCATTCAGAAGTTTCTGTCGAGCGATGGTCTTCGCAAGGACACATGTGCGTACTTCTCCAAAATAGGGTCCTATTTAGGTCCCCACCATAGTACGGCACCTTTATAAAAAGGAACCCCAAACGGACCCTGATTTAGAGAACTACCCATGTGGAAAGACAGGAAAAGGGAGAAAGGGAACTCCGGGGAGCTATTCAGTGCTTGCACTAACGACTGCCTTGACCGACCAAAACCACTTTTTCGCAGGGTCCCCATAATTCTATATTAGGGTTCATAATATGAACCTGGCAAAAAGTATACATTCTGGTAGCTTAAAAAGGCAGAGTAAAACTTCTCAGGACTTGGCTAGCAATACACCAGCGGTCTGATTAAAGACCGAGACAGATGCCTTGATTTTCACCAGGGCGCTCACAAGTGCGTGATATGAGACCCGACCAGTCTTAAAACCCTATCCCCTCCAACCTTAACATCCGAAATCATACATGGACATATGCGGGAGTACGTATCGAGGAAGACTACGTTTCAGCTACATGCCCTTCAGCTACCAGGGCTTCCAGCTTGTGGCTGTAGGCCCCGTAGTGCACCCCAAACGCCGGCAGCCCTAGACCTAAGCCGTCAAACCCAAATATACACAATAGGGGTTTTTTTCCCTCTCGCATGGCTGAATAGGGTTTAGGGTTTTGGGTTTAGGGTTTAGGGTTTAGGCAAGTACATGAACAGTGTACATCAAAATAATCAAAAACGGATGTACATGTGCATGTACGTGTATGCATTCATCTAGCTATGTCTTTGTCTACATCTACCCCACATCTGTATGACATTATACCGTATAATTATACCCACACAGCACAAACGTGAATATTCACACACATATAGTATAGGTGCACGAGCATGTGCAGATGTGAGGGTGTATATACACGGGTAGTTGTCTAAATTAGGGTCCCTTTTAGGGTCCCCAAAATAAGGGTGCCCTACTATATTGGGGACCTAAAGAGGGACCCTAATTTAGAAAACCACCCACACGAAGAGGCAAGGAGCCAGGACAAGCTTCTCCTTGCACGTCGTCAGCCTCAGCCGACTGGGGCTCGGAGGTTTGGAACTTTCCCGGTTCAGGGTTCAGGGTTTACGGTTTAGGAACAGCATGGAAAGGTGTACATGCCCGGTAAGGTAAGAAAGTTTCGTCGCATCCGCTAGAGACACTAAACGGCCTACGCGGAGTACAGGGAATCACGAATACCCTAGCCTGGCTAGCGGAGGAATTATCATCCCGGAATGAAATTATAATACTACAAGTGTTCCGGGCGGAGGACTTGTGGAGGAGTCAGGAGTCTAGGGGGGAAAGGGGTCTGGGACACGTTTGCTGTAAGTCAACAACACAGAGTGCGACGAACTCTCGGACCGGCGCAGTAGTAGGGTATATTGGATTCTAGTCCGAACAGGGAACCCTATGGAGCACTACTGGCAAATTTTTCAAGCTTCTGTAGGTTCCAACAGCCTGGTGTTGTAAAAGCCTGTCTAGAAGTTAGAAGTGGTTCTAGCCCCGTGTCCAGTAACTCCCCTGCAGTGTCGGCGAAGCATAAACCCTAAACCCAAAGCCCTAAACCCCAAACCCAAACCCACGGCTGCTATGCATCCACGCTGCGACAGCAAGGTGGCCAGGGAAGCTTTGCCGCCCCACCTCTTAGGGTTCAGGGTTTAGGGTGCAGAGTTTAGGGTTTAGGTTTGGGGCCTTAACCCTGAACCCTAAACCCGGGTCTAGGGTCTGACTGTCAATGCATCCCATCCGGCGCTTCAAGCATGGCATGTAGGCCACCGTCCGTTAAGCCATTCTGTCTACTGGGCTGTCAGACCGCCTTATCTGACACTGACACAACCGAGGCACTCCTTCAATTCTTCGCACTTCTCCTGTGCGCCACGAACACGTCATCGTCTCTTACGCAGGGCATCTGCAAGGCACATGGAATCAGTGCATGTCAGGGCCATGTCTGTCCTGAGCCTCTCTCTTCTTTTTGTCCTTGTCGCTTTCCTGGATCAAGGGTTTTGGGGCAAAGAGGTGAAGAGGTGTAGAAAAAAACACATTTACGAGATTGGTTTCGCGAATGTGGGACATGCAGCCCTACACCCTAAACCCAGGGGCAATGTCGCAGAGCGTGCTTCTCCAGCTGCTGGACAATGCAGTGTGTCGCGGGACGGAACCTCATGTAGGGGCCTGAAGATTTGCAACAGCAGCTCGTCGTACTACGATTATTATTATTATTGTTATTATTATTAATATTTATATTAATATCGTTTTGATGAAGGTTGTTTGATGAAATTATATAGTACAATGCACCCCACAAACCCCTATTCATAGCAGAATATGCCCCAGAACCCTGCTCCCAGCAAAATACACCCCTTAAAACCCTTCTTCCAACCATTCCGGCCCCTACCTTAAGTAACGACTTGGATCCTGCCTGGGGGGTTACTTCCAAGTCGGCGAGGGCGTCGATGTCAACAAATGGGCTCTTCGGGGATGCGTGGATTGGCGTGAAGTCTGCCTGCAAGGGTTTAGGACTTGGGTTTAGGATGTTAGGGCTTAGGGTTTAGGGTTCAGGGTTTAGGGTTTAGGGACTTGGGTTTAGGATATTAGTAATCTAGGTCCACATTTGGGGCAGCAGTGGACAGTACATGATTATGCCTGAAACCCACGGCTCGACCTTAAACTCTACGGCCTTGTTTCAACTGGCGTGCGGCAACATCACGCCAGGACAGCGCTACAGACTAAACGACAGACCCCTAACCCTAGACCCCAAACCCTAGACCTAATAGAGCAAACCAGAACCATGCCCGCAGAACCATGCTCTCAAGGAGATGCTGAATGGGACGAACGGTAAGGAGATACTGTTCCTCATTCTTCCGGCCTCTCTATTCGTTCACATGAAGGGTTCTCCATAGCCTTCGCCGAGAAAGGTCTGAAACCGAGTCTGAACTGCAAGTTCACTGCTCGACCTAAACCCTAAAGCCCTAAAACCCTAAACCCTAAATGCAACCCATCTGCAGCCATCTACTTCTGCATGTGCAGGCGCAGCACTCATCCTCATGTTTGCCTATCCGTCTCCAGTCTAATCGTCCCCGCTGTTCAGCCGAACCTCCCTTTAGTACTGTGGGAGTTCTTCGACCCTCGTATAGTGCCTTGAAAAGTAGGATACCTTTCATAAGGACCCCGCATAAGGCACCCTACTTTTCTGCCATGTCTGTTGCGCTTGTTTACCTCTGCGTCTGTGGTCCGTATGAACAAAGCCCCACATAAATTACTCCTTCAACCCCCTTCATCACGGACTGAGGTGCCGGCCAGCGCCTCTCCCTAAACCCTAAACCCCAAACTCCCCCGTGTGCACATCCGGTCTCGTCTTTCGGGCTCGGCCTCGCTTCGCTCACCTGGCACCGCGTCGGACATCCGGCAAGGAAGCTGCAAGCTGGCGTGAGGCGGAGGTTCTTGGAGCATAAAATGCTGAGCCGGCCGCGATGCGTCAATGAGGCTTCGGTCCCCGACACCCGGAAGTCTATACCGTCTATACCCTACCCCTTTGGTGCTTCAGCACGTCGACTTCGAAACGCGACGAAGACGGAACTCACATGCAGCGAAGCATTAAGCTGCGATGTGCTTTAGGGTTTCAAGCTTCCCTTCCTGCCTAGCACCTGCAGCCTAGGGTTTAGAGTTTCGACTTTACGGCTTAAGGCTTCTGTAGACCTTGACATATCATGTAGCATGTAGAAACACGAATGAAGTTGAATAGAAAATGCTGTATCCTCTTTCAAGACTCATCCTTGCAGAACGAGCGTCGAGCGCGATGATGCCCAGCTCATGTCTATCATGTGTTGAAGCCCCTTTCTCATCCGGTGATTACCCCTTGTGGCAACTACCGCCTAATCGTCTGTGTCGTACACATTCGGTGAGGCCTCTTCTTCTTGAAGCGGGCCGAGGCTCAGCCATCACCGATGCTGCGCTAGCACAAAGACGTCGGCGGGTGAACCACACATACAAACCCGCGAGCAGCGAGACCTACAGTGTGGCCGTCTGCCCCCACTCTCCCTCCTGCTCCTCATGCTCCTCTTTCCCCGGATATCATGTGCCCCAAAACTCCTTCCCTCAAAAGAATCAAGCGCTTAAAACAAACCTCCGAGACGCTTAAGCCCTTAACGCTAAACCCTACACTCTCATGGGTAGTTCTCGAACGGCACCCATATGAAAAGGACCCTAAAAGGACCCTAACTTAGAGAACGACCCTCATAGCACCCTGTAAAAGAAAAGCCTGTACGTGTGGTGACGGTGGCCTTGCACTCCAGAAAGAAACGAGGACCCACACTTCACAGGTCTGTGGCCTACTGGTTGGCCCTTGAAAGCCTCTGAAAAATATTGGCAAATAGGGTCCTCTTAAGCCCAATAAGGGAAAATATAAAATATCCCAAAGGCCCACCTAGCCTGTTACTATCAGGATTACTCGTACTATTGCCATTACAACTACTATTGCTTTTACGATTACGAGTACTATGACGATTACTATTGCTGTCACGGCTACTGTTACGACTACCATTGCTATTCCCATTACCGTTTCGATTACGATTGCGATTGCTATCGAAACCCAACCGGGCACCTCTTTTCTGAAGACCAGGCAAACCTGCAGACATGGCTCTCGTCTGATCGATACGTTTCCGGAATCCGTGGAAGCATCACTGCTCTCGGGAGGGCTGCTTTGGCCTCTCTTTGATGATGCCTCTGATGTCGCAAATCGGCGGTCGTGCCACAGCCGAAATGGCGGAGTGGGCGCAGGCTGCGGGAGTGTGCCAAGTGCCTGTGGCATCCGAATGGCTTTTCTGCATGGGCAAACCGTTGGGGGCCATGGTTGTGGCGATTCTGGCACCAGTGGCGGCGCAGTGCTCGAAGGAGCAGGCGGAGTGTGTGGAGCAGTCGCCTCAATTGCAGTCTCGGGTGGCTTGCCTGATTGCACCTGCGGGCTGGTCCTGATGACCAGGGCTATCTTTAACCTGCCCTCACTTTCTACTCGGGGCCGTTGCGACGGCTGCGCCTCTCCGTTCGGAACAAGCTGGCCCTTTTGGGGGAGTCGTTGCATCTCTGTCCTGCTGATGCTGGGAGGGGGCTCTGGCCAGTGTGCATGCGGTATGTGATCCTGCGGTTCGCCATACCAGGACAGCAGCTCTGACATGCATCTGCTGGATGGCTCGGCCGACCCGCTTGGGAGATGCGGATCCGGCAGCTTAGGTGGTGACTGTTCTGGCCCTGGCTGACGCCGAGGAATCCTTGCTGGCGTTCTCATGTCCGATAGCGATTTCGGCACCAGCTCCAACCTCGGCGTCAGTGGCTTGCCCGAATGCACTTGCGGGCTGGTCCTGATGACCAGGGCTATCTTTAACCTGCCCTCACTTTCTACTCGGGGCCGTTGCGACGGCTGCGCCTCTCCGTTCGGAACAAGCTGGCCCTTTTGGGGGAGTCGTTGCATCTCTGTCCTGCTGATGCTGGGAGGGGGCTCTGGCCAGTGTGCATGCGGTATGTGATCCTGCGGTTCGCCATACCAGGACAGCAGCTCTGACATGCATCTGCTGGATGGCTCGGCCGACCCGCTTGGGAGATGCGGATCCGGCAGCTTGGGTGGTGACTGCTCTGGCCCTGGATGACGCCGAGGAATCCTTGCTGGCGTTCTCATGTCCGATAGCGATTTCGGCACCAGCTCCAACCTCGGCGTGATCGGTGAGGCACCCTGGAAGTCAACAAGTACGACCACGGAGGGAGCCTGTGGCGACACCTTCCTGGGAGAAAGCAGCGAGAACACGGGAGCTTGCTGTAAAGGCTGTGTGCGCATTTTGCTCATCGGCAGCTGCGGCTGCATCTCCAACAATATTGGCGTGCGTGATAGGTTGACATTGACTGCCTCGAGAACGGAAAAGCTGCAAAGAGCACCGATGGCTGAAAGGACAAGAGCAATATTGGCAAGCAACATCCAACTCGGCCAAGGACTGGCAATAAGGACGTCGGTTGTAGTGGTGGTGGCTGTGGTGCTAGTTCTCGAGGTTCGGGTCTGTGTGCTGGATGTGCTGGATGTTTGAGTGCAGGTCGTACTGATACTGCTGCTCAAACTGGAAGTCGCTGATGTGCTCGTAACAGAAGTTCCAGTTGTGGATGTCGTGGAGCTGCTGCTCGAGCTGCTGCTCGTTCGAGATGTGCTGCTGGAGCTTGAGGTTTGGCTGCTTGACTTGGTTGTAGAGCTTGTAGTGTGTGTTGTTGAGGTAGTAGTGACGGAAAAAGACCAGACGTCTCCACAGAGGGTTCCATTGTACCTGGGCGTCGGGAAGAAAGTCTAGAGTCTAGACTGCTAGTTCGTACTGGTTCCTTCAAGGAACAGGTGGAAAAATGCTGCAAAGTACTTGTCCAGTATCCTAAGGAACTATAAGGCTGTCATTTGGGACTGTGTAGGGATTTTTGTATCCACGAAACATGATAAACCTTCTCTACTACCGAGATACCCTCCGTGGATGTAGATGACTTGATTTCCACTGCCCCAAGCCGCGACGTGTGACCAGCGTCCCGATGGACCAGCGTGCTCGGCTGAAATCAGACTCCACATGTTCTGCCCCGAATCGTATCTCCAAAGGTCTTGTTTGGGGAAGCCGTCGTTGCCGCCATGCAGCCAAAGCATGCGGCTTCCATCATCCCATACTGCGGTGTGGCCTGACCTCGCACTTGGACCGCCATCATATGAGCGTTCGCTCCAACTTCCGGTGGATGCATCCAAAGTCCAAAGGTCCCCCAGTAGGCGAGAGTCGCCAAAGCCACCGTGCATCCAAAGTGCCTGGCCAACCCCATCCCACACGGCAACATGGTGCGATCGTGCCGGTGGCGCTCCACTTGGCGCCAACTCCCACCATCCGTGACCCTGTTCGTTGTAGCTCCACAAATCTGACAAGCGGTTGGTGCCGGTCCAGCCACCATGCACCCAAAGAGAAAACGTGCCTGGAACCCAGACGGCCACATGGGCCTGCCTTCCGGAGGGTCCAGCATCATTGGACACTTGCACCCAAATGCCAGAGTGAAATCTCCATATGTCTCGATACCAGGTGGCTGTTTGGCTGTTGTGGCCGCCATGAACCCAAAGAGCCTGGTTGGCAGCATCCCAGCCAGCAGCATGCAAAGTCCGTGCTGCCGGCGCCTCGGCCGTCACTGTGCGGGCCCAGGAATCGGATGTGGCGTCGAAGGTCCAGAGATCGCCTTCCAGGTTGCTTCCGCCATGGATCAGCAGCACCTGCCTTGCCTCGTTCCAAGTGCCGATGTGCTCCGACCGTGCCGCTGGACGGACGAGGCCGGCATCCGTCAAGTCCGCCAGGCGGCTCCACCGTCCCAGAGCCATGCGCCACGAGCAGCAGAAAGGCAGCAGAGCAGTAGCCGGGCGACATACCATGCTGGCATCCGACACAAACCCGCCCCGAACGCAACCAGTCTAGTTTTCCAGTTGCCCCATGCATTTCTTGCACAACCAATGCATGGCACCTGTTGTTGACTCTAAAATAGCTGTCACCCCCAACAGCTGAAGCAAGGAGCAGGCCACCAATCCTTCGGATGAGGTGGTACACTCGGGCCACATGGTAGCACCACGGACCTCAAGTTTACCATAACTACCCATATTTACCATAATTCCCATAGTTTAGGGTCGTTATTGTGTAAAGGAGCCATGGCTTCGCAGAGCGCATCATTGCTGCAGCAGCAGGCAGGGAGTGTCCCTCCTTGTGCTGTCTGCGCGCGGACGTGTACGTGCCGAGCGAAAGGCATGCCGAGGCAAATCTTTGGCCTTTGCAAAGTGGTTGGAACTACGTAGTCCTGGCTCGTCTTGAGCCAGCTCGCACTGAAAATCGAGCTAAACTAGGGCGTGTCCTCTGAAGGTGCCAGCAGCGCGTGAGAGACGAAGCTAAGATTGGTATACGACACGCGCTCTGTGCACAAAGTTCAAAAAACCCTAAACCCTAAACCCTAAACCCTCATGCCAGGCCGAAGCCTTCCGACGCAACAAGCGTGATACCCTAGGGCTCCAGCTAACCTTGATAATGGCCTACTGGGTTGCATACATCAGTGAAAGCTTACTATGCAAAGTAGGCAACTGAAGCCTAAGAATGTATCATAAGTGACGCTTGCTAAAGGAAGTATTTTCACTTTGAGGGGCCAATGCCAACAGCTCTATCTCTGTCTCTCTCTCTCTCTGTCTAGATCACAGACAGACTGACTGACTGCCTGGCTGACAGACAGACAGACAGACAGGCAAGCAGACAGACAGACAGACAGACGACATGCAGACAGACATACGGACTGACAGACAAGCCGGCAGGCAAACAGACAGACAGAAACACACACTCACGCATGTACACAGAGAGATGAGAATGAGAGTGGCCAGCACATGCACATGAAATACATATGCAAAGAGCCGCCGTACATGCAGGCGCCTCAGTGCAAACACGATAGAAGACGCACGCGAAATGTGTACACAAATGTCTCTGAACATAATATAAATATATATATATAGAGGCACATGTACATACATACTTACATACCTACATACTTACATACCTACATACATACATACATACATACATACGTACATACATACATACATACAGACATACATACATACATACATACATACGTACGTACGTACATACATACGTGCATACATACATACATACTTACTTATTTACTTACTTACTTACTTACATACTTACTTGCTTCCACACATACTGTACATGCATAAATCTACATACATACATACATACCTACATACATACATACATACATACATACATACATACAGACATGCAGACATACAGGCATACACAAATGTATATAAGCACACATGCATTCACCAAACGATGCGGTAACACCATAAGCTTCTTACCCTTGAAGTTAGCAGTAACAGGATTCGGTTACTACTATTACTACTACTGCTACGACGACGACGACGACTACTAGAACTGCTGCCTACCTACTACCTACTACCTACTACGTACTACCACTACTACCATTAATACTGCGGGGCGCCTACAACTACGAATACGGCCACAACTACTGCTGCTACTACTACTCCACCTCGTACTTCTACTTACCCGACTGCAACTGGGACTGCGACGACTGCGATTATACTGCTACCACTACCACGACTCCGACCACCATGACTGATAATACTGTTGCTACTGCCACAACCGCGACGACCACAACGACGACCACGACGACTACTACCACCACAGCATAAAGTAGAATAGAATAGATTATAAAACGAAATAGAACATTTTAAGACAGTATATAACAACATAAAGTTGATAGAAAGTAAACTACAAAAATTCTAAAACCGAAACAAGTAAACAGATGCATGTACACTACTATTGTGTAGTTACTAGTTATCTAACAGGTCGGCGCTATCAGCCTCGTCATCGTAGCAGCACGGTCAATGGCGCGGCCGCGTATGCGATTGTCGCAGAAATCGGTGTTCAGTTCTATGATAAATATAGTCTGTTTCATTATCTTGTGTACACATTTATACACATACTTCCTAAACCTAAACCCTAAGCCCTAAACCCTAAACACCTCCACTTGTACCGGCAAAAGTGGCAGGCGCTCCTGTGCTCACTCTCAGCTTTGGAGCAAACAGAGCAAGGAGCCCTTCATTGCTGCTTGGCACCTTTGGCACAACCTACTGGCACTGAGCGGAGAACACTGCTGTCCGCTTGATCACTCCTTTGTCTGTCTCGTAGTATAGATTGACGCACTGACTAAGCAAATTTGTATACTGAGTCTTGGTGCTTTAGCTTCGAACTCAGCGGTACAGTAAAAGTCATTCTTAATTAAGTGCACCCAAACTTCGGGGACGGCTTGCTGTTAGGAGTTTCCTCCCGATCAACATCTTGCAGTCTGTGCGGCCAGGAGCCGAGCATGCGCTTGCAGGGTGACGAACGCGTGCTCGGGTCCGCCATGTCCGAAAACCTCTTGGCGGACTTCGCTTTGAAGCCCAATTCAAGGACCGCGCAAGGCTTCGGAAGCCGGACATGCCTCTCACATGGACTTGCAGAAACTGGCAATATCTTTGGCGCGCCCTGGCGCTGCCATGGTTTGCTTTCCGGCGGCTCTAGTCTGCAGATGCTGGGAGCCGGGAGACTCGGTCGTCCCTGCCTGAGCTCCTTAGGCGGCAGCGGCTTCGATTGAGAGCACGGCTTTCCCGGCTCGCCTGCTCTGGATGGGTAAATCACCAGAAGTGCCTGGGGCAAGTGCAATTGGCAAAGGTCGGGTTCTTTCGGAAGCCGTCTCTCTTTCCCCATTGAAGGCCATCCTGGTCCGTCGGGCACCAGCTGCACACGAGGTTGGCTGCGAGAAACAATGTGGTCTGGGGGTTGGCTGTGAGAAAAAATGTGGCGCTGGGACGGCCGCTTGGAAGGGCATTCCAACCTGGTAAAGCTGGGGGCGAATGCTGGTGGTATTCTGTCTTGCGTTGTCGGATGCATTGACAGGTCTTCATGCTCCCGTCTGGACACGGAATCGCTGCATGGACGGGAGAAGCTGGCAGATTCCCCCTGCTCAGGCTCCGGTGGCAGCACAGGCGATGGCTGCGTCTCTCTCCATGAACGCCGGTCTGCGTTGAACGGAAAGCCCTGCGACTCTGGAACCAGTTGCACTCTCGGGGTAGCCGGTGGAGCACCCTGGAAGTGAACAAGGACAACCAAAGGAGGGCATGGCGATCTTTGGCAAGGGGGTGGCGGAGCAAATGCTTGAGTCAGAGCCTTTGGCTGTCCTTTTCTTTGTGGACAGTTTGATGGCTGTGGCTCCAACAGCCGCACATCGAAAGCTGGAACAGGAACAGTTGCTAAACGATGGTAGAGCACGGCCGCGACGTATGCTGCACCACAAGCTTGTAAGATCATAATCGACATGATGACCAGGAGGCTATCTGGGACAGGGCTGGCGATGACAAGTTGTGTCATGGTAGTGGTTGTGGTGTATGTGGCGGTGGAAGAGCTGGACGTAACTGTAGTCTGGGTGCTGGATGTCTCCGTGGATGTCGTGTTCGTTGCTGAAGTGCTGCTTGAAGTGGTGGAAGTCGTGCGGCTAGACGTCCCCGTGGTTGAGGTAATGCTGATAGATGTTGTCGAGCTGCTGGAGCTGGTGCTTGTACTGCTGGAACTGCTGCTCGCTGTAGAGGTGCTGCTGCTCGTTGTCGAGGTGCTGCTGGAACTGGAGCTGGTTGTCGTGGAAGTGCTAGAACTTGATGTGCTGGTTGGAGACGTGCTCGTGCTGCTAGTTGAGCTGGAGGTGCGTGATGTTGTCGTACTCAGTGTCGCCGTCAGGGAGGTGCTGCTAAGCGATGATGTTGAACTGGTGCTGGTACTGCTGGAACTGGTGGTGTGACTTGTGCTGCTGCTGGAAACCGAAGTACTTGTCGAGGACGTTCTTGTGAGCGAGGTGCTGCTAAGCGATGTCGTGGAACTGGTGCTGGTGCTGCTGGAACTGGTGGTGTGATTTGTGCTGCTGCTGGATACGGAAGTACTTGTCGTGGCCGTGCTTGTCAGCGACGTGGTGCTAAGCGATGTCGTGGAACTGGTGCTGATGCTGCTGGAACTGCTGCTAGACGTCCGAGTGGTCGAGGTACTGCTGCTGGACGCTGTCGAGCTGCTGCTCGTGCTTGAGGTACTGCTTGCCGTGGACGTGGAACTAGTAGTTAATGTGGTCGAGGTTGTGGTGACACTGAAAGACCATAGGTCGCCACAGACGCTTCCATTGTATCCACCATGGATGTAGACGACCTGGTTACGGCTGTCCCAGGCAGCAACATGTGACCAGCGCGCGGATGGACCGTCGTGCTCTGCAGGAATCAAACTCCACCTGTTCTCCCCAGAATCGTATCTCCAGAGGTCTTTCGTGAGGATGCCGGCGTTGCCACCATGCAGCCAACGTGCCGATGGAGAATCACCCGGTGCCGGGGACAGTTCCTGCCATCCATGGGCCTGGGTGCTGTACTTCCACAAGTCTGATAAGTGCTCGACACCTGTCCAGCCGCCATGAACCCAAAGGGAAGAGGTGCCTGAAACCCAAACCGCAGCATGCGCCCTCCTCCCAATAGGCCCGGCATCATTGGAGTCCAATGTCCATATCCCAGACTGCAGCTTCCAAACATCTCGAAACCAGCTGGCTGTTTGACCTTAGTTGCAAAGAAGCTTAAACTTTCGATTTGATTGTCGGGTTGTCGCATCCAAGAAGTATAAAGAAGACTCGTTCCGCTACTAAGTGACTGCTGTGCCCGCCATGAACCCACAGGGCCGACTCTACGGGATCCCAGCCAGCAGCGTGCGCAGCGCGGGCTCCCGGCACCTCGGCCGTCACCGTGCTGGCCCAGGAATCGGATGTGGCGTCGAAGGCCCACAGATCGCCTTCCAGGTTGCTTCCGCCATGGATCAGCAGCACCTGCCTTGCCTCGTCCCAAGTGCCGATGTGCTCCGACCGTGCCGCTGGACGGACGAGGCCGGCATCCGTCAAGTCTGCCAGGCGGCTCCAGCCTCCACAAATTACGCTCCAGCGGCAGCAGAAGAGCAGCAGAGCAGCAGCCGACATACCATGCTGGCATCGGGGTGCAAGCCCGCGAACTCCACGCAATGTCGGATCCTGTAGACTGTAGACCCCAACTGCTTCCGCCCACTAATATGCTGCATGATTGCAATGAACTAGACTGCCGTGCTCCTTTCATGACTTCCACAATGTGATCCATTGGAGCCGCATCAGCGATTGAAAAGTCTGGTCAATCAGGCTTTTCTGCGTTAGGCCTATTTATTGCCTCCCAGAGAACCCAATACCCCTTAATTACGGAATATACCTTAAATCATAATATTAAGGCCCCTATAATTTTTAAGGCATATTCCTTCATTAAGGAGTATCCCTAAACCCTAAACCCTTGATGACCCCTATAATTTAAGGCATGTTCCCTTAATTAAGGGGCTTTCGGCTCTCTGGGCTGATCGAGCATGGAGGCCCTGGTGCTGTCATCTCAAGGCTCAGCAGATGTCAGCAGACGCGAAAAACCTGAGAGATGCAAGCCACGGAGTTTAGGGTTTAGGGTTTAGGGGTTAGGGTTTAGGGTTTAGGGTCGGAGTGCCAAATGTGCCTGGAATCCAGTTTGCGCCGCTCGTTCTACGAAATTTCGGAGCACACAATCGGCATTTGCCGATTATGGCTGGCTTCGTCGACTGTTGCCTCTGGTGACATTCGCCACCTGTTGCTCCAAGTGAAACGAAGGCAGGCATCCAACAAGGGCTTAGTACAGGCGCCTCAATAAATGGAGTGGGGTTGTGGTGATATTGATTTAGTACACTAAAAGACTATGCTAAGGAACCCCAAAGAAGTAATAGTACGTAGTTGTTCTGGCTTCTGTAACTAGTGCTTTAGGGCTGGGATGTGAGTGCGCTTTGCATGTGAGTGCGCTTTGCACCGTGGAGCCTCATTCGCACTAGATCTCGGAGGAAGGAGCTTGGGTGCAGGGTCTCAGGGTTGAGGACTTGCGGCTTGAGGGTCTAGGATCTCGCGTTCAGGGTCTACAGGTTTTTCCCTTGGGGTTTAGGGTTTAGGGTCTAACGGTTTTAGGGTTAGGGTGCAAGGCATGAGGGTGGACTTCAGTCTTGCCTGCAGTAGGCGGGGAGAGATGCTGCCATTCCGCTCAGATCACGGCGACTGTTCCGGAGTCTGCATAGCCTGCACGGTTTAGGGTTTAGGGTTTAGGGTACCGCCCCAACTTGCGCCGGTCGCGAGACCTGAGCCTACCTAAAAGATTAGGGGCTTCAGGAAGTATGAGCTGACAAGTCGGGTGGCAGCACTTATCCCCTCCACTCAGGACCTTCTAACAACACTTGTTACTGTATTACTTACAACTACCCACGAGCCTGCAAATCCTATAGCTTAAACAACCCCTTAGCCAACTTCATGTTACGGTTTAGAGTTCGGGATTCAGGGTTCAGGGTATGGGGTATAAAAATGGTCGATTTCAACAATCCCCGAAACCTAGGGTTGAATTAGAAACCTCGGGTTGAATTAGGGCTCGAGTTTTAAAGCCATAAAGACAAGGATACATGATCCTAAATCGGTGCCTAGTTGAGGGTTTAGGGTCGTAGGATCCTATCCACAACACAGGCTCCCACAAATGTAATTTAGGGGCCTGAATAATTCGAACAGGGTTTTGGGGTATATTAGGAACCCCCGAAATAGTATTGGTAATTAAATAGGCCCCTACCCTAAACCCTAAATCCTAAACCCCTCTCTTACTGCAGTACATCCTTAGCGCAGGTCCAGGGTCTGGCGTGAAGGGCTTTACTCGAGAGGAAGCCAGCTTCCCAGAGAGCCCAATACCCCCTTAATTAAGGAATATAGCTTAAATTATGAGGGAGCTTCCTTTTATGATCTAAGCTATATTCTTGAATTAGGGGGTATTGGGCTCTCTAGGTTCAACGAGTTTCAATGTGTCTGTGGGCCCCTGCTTTGCTTCTGAACCTCGGGCTTTGTGCTCGGACTGAGATTTACGGTTTAGGGTATCTTTTGCCTGTATAGAATTTAGGGTTTGAGGCTTAGGGTTTCGAGTCCGGCGTTCTCATGCGCACAGTTCATGGCTTGTGCTGGTTAGGATTAAGGGGTCTACTTGAAGGTTCATGGTCAAAGAGTTGGTTCTCTTGGGGTTGTATACTTTTTGGGGGTTGTAAGTGCAGCTGCCGTACTTGTAACCCTTCTTGCTAAGTCCCTCGATCCGCTCAACACTGCTTTCTTGAGCACCCGGCCCCACCCTGGCCCAAACCCAAAGCACTTAACCCTAGACCCTTAACCCTAAACCCTAAACCCTAGACAATACACCTCCAAGCCCAGAACCCTAGGCTACACCCTAGACAATAAGCCTAAACCCTAAACGCTAAACCCGCGCCCTAACCGTAAGCCAAAACCCTACACCCTAAAAACTGGAACCCAAATGAACCCATATGGTACGCTTAAAACCACTTCATTAGACATATGGGTAGCGCCCTAAATCTTCTTTCACAAGGGTGCGGTACTGCTTTGGGGGACCTAAACGTGGACCCTAACTTGGCCAACTAAATAAACCCATGTAGTACTGTGGTACCCTCAGAGAAACCCTGTAGAAACCCTTTATAGATCCCTTTCAGGAAAACCCTAAACCCTAAGCCCTAAACTCTAAACCCTAAAACCTAAACCCTAAACCTTAAACCCCAAGCCCTTTATAGAGATCCCTTTAAGGAGCCCTACCGTGGGACCCCAAAAAAGGAACTCTCTTCTCAGGCCCCCGGCCTTGGGCCTCAAAGCTCCTCCAACTGCCAGTCGAAGCCGAGACCTCGCCCTTTAGGGCTTTAGGGTTTTAGGGTTTTAGGGCTTTAGGGTTTTAGGGTTTTAGGGTCTTAGGGTTTTAGGGGTGTAGGGCTTTAGGGTTTAGGGCTTTAGGGTTTAGCTATGTGCGTACCTGTATACATATGTCATTTGTATGTGTGGGTTTATATATATATATATATATGTGTGTGTGTGTGTGCGTCTATCTATCTATATTTCTATATATATATATATACAAAGCGTGAGAGAGAGGGAGAGAGAGAGAGAGACAGAGAGATGCACACACACACACACACACGTTCCATGCAGTCGTCTTAAGAGTTTAAGGTCTACTTATAAGTAGGATAACTATACTTACAACCCACATTAGGGGAGTTATAACCCTACTTATGACTACCCATGAACCTCCAAGTAGGGCCTAAAGCTTGATCTTTCCTTTTTGGGCGCCTTTTTCCAAGCAGATACAGAGGCAATCCCGAGTTCGGGCCCTGGGTTTGGGACCGCCGTCTTGAGGGTTTAGGGCTTCGGGGTCTAGGGGTTTAGGGTTGAGGGCTTCGGGTTTAGGGGTTTAGGGTCTAGGGTTGAGGGCTTCGGGTTTAGGGGTTTAGGGTTTTAAGGCTTAGGGTCTAGGGCTTCGGGTTTAGGGGTTTGGGGTTTAAGGTTTAGGGTTGAGGGTTTCGGGTTAAGGGTTTGGGGTTGAGGGTTTCGGGTTAAGGGTTTAGGGTTGAGGGCTTAGGGTTGAGGGCTTAGGGTTGAGGGTTTGGGGTCTAGGGATTTAGGGGTTTAGGGTTGAGGGTTTCGGGTTTAGGGGTTTAGGGGCTTGCTTTGCCAAGCTCAGAGTGGAGACTCGGGTTGCGCAGTGAGGTGTAGGGCTGTCGGCGCTTCCAAGGCGTTAAAGCAAGGGGTTCGAAAAGGGTTTAAGGGATAGTACACTCAGAGACTTGAAGAACCAGGGGGCTGAGTAGTTAGTTTGGATGGTTATAATCCCTACCTAGGTGCTGACAACCATTCCTATATCACCCTTCTAATGCACTTAGAAGATCTGAAGGATGTAGCACGCTCAGCTAGACTTCTGATCAAGGAACCTCATAGGCCTATTCTTGCTACGTCCACATGCACGCGCACGCCCTGAACCCAAACCCCGTCGGGGTTCGGAGGTGTGGGGTTACTGTTTAGGGCTTGGGGGTTTTAGGGTAGTTTTAGGGTTTAGGAATAGGCAGTAAACCGTACTAGTTATGGACCCCCCTGTAGTTGAAGCTATATGCTCCAAACCCTAAACCCAGCATCCTTACTTAAGGCGTGGCGTTGCATCAAGCCCTGAACCCCCTAACCCTTTTCAGCACGGACTGAGGTGCCAGTGCCTACACAACCCTCACCCCCTCTTAACCCTAAGCCCAAAACCCTATAAACCCTCTTAACCCTAAACCCTCTTAACCCCCTAAACCCTCTTAACCCTAAACCCTCTTAACCCTAAACCCTAAACCCCCTTAACCCTAAACCCCTGAGGTTTGGGATGGGGCCTTGCATCCGGCAGAATGCATCCTTCAGGAAGGAGCGCCCTTCCGCCTCGGCTCTTTTTGGGGGATTTAGGGTTTAGGGTTTGAGGGTTTAGGGTTTAGGGTTTAGGGTTAAGAGGGTTTAGGGTTTAGGGTTTAGGGTTTCGGGTTTCGGGTTTAGGGTTGAAGTTACCATAATACTTACTACCCCCAAAAAAAGCCAGGGAAACAAAAGGTTAAACTTTTAGATTACTACTCATTTATAAGAGCCCCAAAAAGTTTAAAGGTTGGGTACTGGGGAACTAAGAATAAGGAAACCATGTTATTTACTGTAGCTCCCTATTATGGTAACTTAAATAATTATAGATCCCTATTCTGGTAACTTAAATAACTATAGATCCCTATTATAGTAACTTAAATAACTATAGATCCCCATTATAGCAACTTAAATAACTATAGATCCCCGTTATAGTAACTTAAATAAAAACATCCCTTAACAAGGGCCCCGCCGCGGTGGTGCAGTTTTGGGACACCCGGAGTCTCAGAGAAGTCAGCTCCTGGCTTCCCCCACTTGGGTAGTTCTCTACAGTAGGGTGCCTTTTAGGGGCCTTTTTTTACGGGTGCCGTACTTTATTGGGGACCTAAAAAGGGACCCTAATTTAGAGAACTACCCATTTAGTCTTTAGGGGTTCGGGGTTTAGGCTTTAGGGTTTAGGGGGTTTAGGCTTTAGGGGTTCGGGCTTTAGGGTTTAAGTGTTTAGGGATTGAGGGGTTTTGGGGGGTTTAGGGTTTAAGGGTTTAGGGGTGTAGGGGTTTAGGGTTTAGGGTTTAAGTGTTTAGGGGTTGAGGGGTTTTGGGGTTTTGGGCTTTTTTGACATGCCCTCAAACAAAGTATACCCGGTTTCCTAGTATTTAGTTCGGAGAAAACACCTAAAAAATATACAATCATAAAAAAATATTTAAAAAAATAGAAAAAAGTATCTAGAACCTATTAAAGAAAGTATGGAAAGAGATTTAAAAAAGGTGCCCTACGCTCCTTCAGCTGGCCGAGGCCCGTTGCCAGGGCGAAGCAGCCACTGGCCTCTTGTTCTATGCAGCTGCCAGGCTTAGAAAGTTTAGAGCTTTGGGTTAAGGGGGTTCAAGGGTTTAGGGTTTAGGGGTTTAGGGGTTTAAGGGTTTAGGGTTCAGGGCTTAGAAAGTTTAGGGTTTAGGGTTTGGGGTTTAAGGCTTTAGGGGTTGAGGGTTTAAGGGTTTAGGATTTAGGGTTTAGGGTTAGCCCTAATAGGCCCTAAACCCTGAAACCCTTAACCGTTGGCCTCGATCTTGTTCTCTGCAACTGCCAGGCTTAAAGAAGTCAAATGCTGCAGTTGGTCCAGCGTCTTTGCCAAGGCATCGCAGCCCTGCAGAGTTCTTGTTAAGGGATTTAGTCTAAGCTACCGTGCATAATAAAGAAACCCTATTATTTCCTATAGATCCCTCTTAGGGTAAATTAAATTAAGTTCCTAAACCCTAAACCCTAAGCCCTAAACCCTAAACCCTAAGCCCTAAACCCTAGAACCCTAAGCCCAGCCTGCACTGTGAGGCAATCTCTTTCCAGGTCCAGGCTCAGGGAACGGAGCTTCTGCAGCTGAGCCTGGGCTCTTGTTCAGGGGGACTTAAGTTCAAGTTACCATAATAAGGAAACCCTGTTGTTTCCTATAGATCCCTAAACCCTAAACCCTAAAGCATAATAAGGAAACCCTGTTGTTTACTATAGATCCCTATTAGAGTAACTTTCAAAAAGAAATCCCTTAACAAGGACCCAGGAGCCAGCGATCCCAGTGCCTTCACCAAGCAGGTGCAACCCACAGCCTGGGCTTAGGGTTGTTGGGTTTAGGGTTCTTGGGTTCTTGGGTAAGAAATTTCGGGTTTGGGGTTTGGGGTCTAGGATTTTGGGCTTAATTTAGGGTTTTTCGACTCTCACTCTCGCAAAGCAGGCAAGGCTCTTAGGGGTTTTAGGGTTTAGGGTTTAGTTAGGGATGTAACTTACATTGCCATGAAGTCGAACCCCTGCTCTTTACCAGAGATCCCTATATCTTCTGGCAACTTACACGAAGCTCCTTCAAACCCTTAGAGCCGGAGCCCAGCAGCTGAACCTATCGCTCCTCTGAGGCTTACGTGCAAGATCTCCACACGCTGGAGCTTCCCCAGGGCGAGGCCAAAGGCCGTGTACAAAGCCGCCCAGCGGTTCTTCCCAAGCTCCCGCTGCAGGAGGAGGTGTCGGCTTTTCGACCGCTTCTCCATAGATAGACCCAAGAAGGCGAGGTTACGCAGCTGAGAGAGCGTCTGTGTCCAGGTAGTCAGTGCTATGTCCTTTCTCCACCTGAGTTGCAGCTTGCATCACGTGCGAGTAATTCTTCATGCTGGAGAGTCACAAGTTCATCACAAAGCCACCTAGCAGGAAAAAGATCCCAAATCCCTCAAACCCTGACTGCCCGAAAAATCGACACCCCAAGTTCCGGAACCCAGCCGCGTGTTGAATCCGATGTCCAGGCTGAGGGAGGAAAGCTCGGGAAGCTGCCCCAAGACCTTTGCCAGATCACGGCATCCGGCGTCTCCTTACTCAGGGGGCACTAAACTCTCTTCTTCAACAACCGTGCCCAAAAATGTTTAAACTTTTTAGGATAGACATAATATATAAGGCCCAAAAGGTTAAAGTTCTCCCAGTGGCTGTCTAAGCAAAGGATAGGCTTTGGTAGTATGTAAAGAGCCTAAGATCCCCACATGGTTATAAAACACATAAGTCCTCACTGCTACGAAGTCTCCCATGCAGTTCGACCTCAAGTTCAAGGTCACATGCTTCAGCTGCCTCAGCCGGCGCAGTGCGAGGCTCAGAGCGCTGAAGCCTGCATCTCTGATACAGTTGCAGCTCATGTCCAAGCTAATGGTTGTGAGCCACTGCAACTTGCCAAGCGCATCTGCAAGAGCAGTGCAGCCCAAGTCGTCAACGAAGTTATCGGCAACATCCAGACCTAGAGATCTCAGCTGCTGCAGCTGGCTGAGTGCTCCTGCCAATGTACTGCACACGGAAGCTCCCGCCTTGTGGTGCCTTGATGCACTGGCCAGGTAAAGCTCCCGAAGATGACCTACCACTCCTTTCAAAGCCTTGGGTGACGCTTCGATCGTGCGCCGCCGAAGACTTACCAGGGTGACGTTCCGCAGCCTTCTCAGATTTCCCACGGCCTCCAGCCAGACCGCCCAGGCCTCACCGCTGATCTCCTGGTTCCCCCGGAAGCTCACCCTCATGCTGGTGAGCTGCTGCATTTCGCGCAGGTTCACGGCCCAAACTAGGCACCCGGTGTTGTTGATCTGGTTGTTATCGAGGTGCAGGTTCATGGTGGTGAGCCGCGGCGCGTGCCGAAGCACTTCTGCCAAAGCTCTGCAGCCTTCATCACCGATTTCGTTGGACCTCAAGTTCAAAGTCACGGACTGAAGTTGTCGGAGCTGGGCCAGAGCCTCCGCTAAAGCAATACATCCAGCATCTTGGATGGCCCTTGCTTTCATGTCCAAGCTCAAGGAGGTGAGCTGCTGCAACTTTCCGATGGCAGGTATGACGTCGCAACCTCGGCAAGGGAAGAACTCCAAAGGAGTTCTGAAGCCGAAGGCGGTATAGAACCCTAGATTCATGAGCCCTGAGACGCTAAAAATCGCAGAAGACCCCGGCTTAATCCTACCTCAGCCCTCTGAACCCTAAACCCTCAACCCTAAACCCTAAACCTCAGCTCTCTGAACCCTGAACCTCCAACCCTAAAGCCCTAGCCCTCCACCCAAAGCCCCACCCTAGACCCAAACTCCCTCCACCCTATAGGGTTTAGGGCTTTAGGGTTTACCTAAACCCCAAATAACCTACCTTGTTGGGGTTCCTTATTATGGCTTCTTTATATGAGTCCTTAAAAGGGTGGGTTTTTAGGGGTCCAGGTAAGGCTTAGGGATCTAGGGTCTAGGGCCTAAGCCCTAAACCCCTAATTAAACCTTAAACCCT